GGAGAAATCTCTGGAAACGTTGTGTATGTCCCCAAAACATGTAGCATCCAGCTAGCTTCTGTTGAGTGGAGAGGAGCTGTTACCTAGCAACGGGACATACCGGAAATCAACTGTTTGACGGACATGTGCGACAGCCAATCAGGTAGCAGGACGATTCTACACCGGCCAACCTCTTTTTGTGTTTTTAAATTCAACCTTTATTTATCTGTTGACAGAGAGCTGGTAAACAACGCCTGCGCGGTGCTTGGTAAACAAACAAACAAAATAAATAGAGGCCTAAAAAATATGATGACACACAGAATATGTGATATAATAATAAAGTTAATAAATAATAAGACATGGCTCATAAAATGTAACGTTATTGCACTCTGACTATTGCAGTTTGATTTTAGAGTTTATTGCAGGTCAGTGGGGTTTTTATTTGTTATTAATTAGGATTATTTTATTTCATGATTCCACTTTTAATCTGTCAGCACAATCAGGGAAGAGTCAGTGATATTATTGGCTGTTCCTTCGATCTGAACGAGCCAGCAGCCAACTAGATATACAATAAATCTACTGGAGATAAATATAAATATATGACATGGTTTGTTTTGTGGCTTTTATTTAGACATTCGTCTTGTGAGCCAGTCTGGCAAGTAACACGAAATTGGCAATAAGAAATACAGCCAGTGCACGTCATAAATAACATCTTGAATAAAAAAAGATTTTATAAAAAGGATATTTCAGTCGTCAGAAAAGTGATCAGCAACTATTTTAATAGCTGATTAATCTGAATTTTTAACTAGAAGTAGTGAAAAAAAGGCAAAAATGTTCATGTTCCTGCTTCTCAAATGAAAATGTTGGTGCTTCTCTTTGTCATATATCAAAGTAAACTGAAAACATTTTGGTTTTGGGGCTTTGCTCAGATAAATCAAGATGTTTTAAGATGTCACTTTGGGCTCTGGGAAGCTGTAATTAGCATTTGTGTCATTAAATAAATTATTATGGAGAAAAAACCAACTGGAAATAAATGAAATTATGTGACTACATTAGTTTCTTGGCTTTTCTTTCTTTCTTTTTTGGTTCATTTAACAGTTAGTCCAATGCATGTGAGGCAGTCTGTTGGCAACTAACAAAGAAATCCTGAAAAAATCTCTGACAAGAAATACAGTCGACACATTTAATAATAATGAGATGAGATTTAATGCATTGAAATTGAATTAAAATGTATTATTTCACAATTTTGTTATTTGGTATTTTTCTTTCTTTCTTTCTTTTCTTTTTTCTTTCTTTCTTTCTTTCTTTCTTTCTTTCTTTCTTTCTTTCTATCAGAGTTCAGCGCACAAGCCCAGACTGGTAAAATCCACCAATGATCTCATATTTAAAAGATCCAGGATGTGACTTCATCCAAGGGTCACAGAAACAAACACACACACACACACACACACACACACACACACACACACACACACACACACACACACACACACACACTTTCAAACACACACATCATCTACCATTTCCCCATCATTATGGAGGCCCAGTGGTCAGCACAGTGTGGTTTAGGTCTGAGGCAACGCTCCAGGACCTTGGTTGGTGTGTGTGTGTGTGTGTGTCTGTGTGTGTTTGTGTGTGTGTGTGTGTGTGTGTGTGTGTGTGTGTGTGTGTGTGTGTGTGTGTGTGTGTGTGTGTGTGTGTGTGTGTGCATATACATGTGGATGCATGCTCGTGTGCAGCAGGGGTGTGTGTCTTCTCTCTCTCTCTCTGCTCTGTCTGAATGCCTGTCACTGCCTTCTGTTGGGACTTTTGGGAAGCTTTGCAGTAGAGGAGCTCCAACACAGGTACACACTGTTAATTAATCTATTTCACACATAAATATTATATTATATACACAGAGCAGCATTTTATTTCGATATTTGTACCGAGATTTCTAGTAAAACATTTCAAAAAGTGGTTGAATCTCAAACAGTCGAAGTGAAAAGGACTTTTTCTGGAAGCTGCTCTGGAAGAAAATCTGACTTCATGCTGCGTAAAAGCATGAGCACTTTAAGTATAATGTTTGCCTGAGATGAAACTGAATGGGACTCTTTATTGATGTTGAGCATGAATTTGAATAAGGCATCTGCCGTTTAAATATTGAATGACTCTGGGAGATTCTGTAATGCTTTCACTGCGGGGCCAAACTGATTTGGTGGTTGCCAGGTTGAGCCTGGTTGGAGCTGATGAGATGTTGGTTGATTAAAAATGTGCAAAAACCTTTGGAGAAAAAGCTGCAGAGTATCAGAACGAGTGCAGTCTCAGTGTGTGTGTGTGTGTGTGTGTGTGTGTGTGTGTGTGCATACCTGCAGGGTGTGTTTAATTCAGCATTAACTGATGATACTGAAAGCGTCTAGGCGTCTCCAGTTTATCTCTCGAGCAGGCTGCTGATTATATATTTTACTTAACGACAACAAAATCCCACGAAAAGACCAAAAACAAGAATTTGTCTGACTTCCCGTCTGTGGCTCTCACCTCCGAGCACTTTGCTTCCAACTGAACTTACAGACGGTTCCTAAAACAGCTGCTCATTGTGGTTTTTATCAGACTAACAGGAGGAAATAGTGAATCTGTGGGGACTATTTTCAGCGGTGGATTAATCTACATTTGGAGTTCGAGCTCGGCCCTTTGCTGCGTGTCATCCCCCCTCCCTCTGTCACTGTACAGCTGTCACTATCAATCAAAACCAATTCAATCAATCCCATTAAAACATATTCTTCCTCATAGTGAGTCTTTCTCAGCAGTGTTTGGCAGTAACTCTGTAATAACATTACTTTCCCCAGCAACTAGTAGAGTAACTAATTACTGTTGGCAGCAAGTAATAAGTTATTATATTACTTTTGAAAAGAGTAACGAGTAATAAATTAAATGTATTGCTGCTGTTGAATATGGCTTCCTGCTCACAGTGAACAAACACCATCATTAACCTGATAGTTGCTTTCGTCTTCATCTTCTGTGAGGTTTTACAGCAGTTGACTGTTTATTACAGTTAACGATTGTACTGAAAATACTGATATTGAATATAAAATGTGTATAAATGTTTGTTTTTTACTTATTATTTTAGGAATTAGGCTGACTGACCGCAGTACTCCAAAGTGCCTCCATTTGAGAGTCACTGAGATAAGATAGACTTAGATAGCTCCAGACTGAACATATCAGATAATAAAAAAGAAATACACTTGAAATTAAATAGAAAAATACAAGATATTAAGAAAAAACACGAGTTGTATTTACACAATATACAGTTGTTTATTGCTCTAGTGAGTATTTCTGGCAGCAGGACAGTGAATGTGGGATTGAGTCACAATAAACTAAAATGTCTTTATAGTAACGAAGGAACAATGTGGCTCAAAGGAAGAAGATACACACTTTACACCCAAAGGCAATAAAGGCAGCGCACACACAAAATCGTGGAACTGTTTGATGATTTACTTGTTTTTAGGAAGTGAATCATAGTGTGACCTTTTTAAACCAATCACCTGCCAGCTCCTGAATATAAAACACATGACTACCATTATCCTCTGAGCTCTGATGAGTGTGTTTATCTGAAATAGCCAAAATAAATTGGTAAAATTGAGATTAACTCAACTTTTGTCCTGGAAATCTGTGTGTGCTACCTTTTGTTTTTGGGTGTTCATCCTGGGTTCAACACAGGAACTTAAGATCTAACTACCAGACACATTCACTGTTGGTCGAGTGTGCACGTGAGATTTGTTGACAAGAAGAATAATATAAAATATCACCACCAGACTAAAACCCTGCTTTAATGGCAGCAGCCTTCAGTTTCCAGCTCCAGCTGACCAGCAGACGTCCGAGGTGACCCGCTGTATAGTCTACTGGAGCCTCTGTGTATTATTGTAGGTGTGTGAGAGCGTTTGTGGGCGTATCACTGGAACAAATATGAAGTTGCTGAGGTAGGTTGTACTCTGCGTGTCTCTGCAGCACTCCTCTCTCCAGTTTTGTGAGTTTCTCTGTCAGTCGTTTTCTTTTTGTGTGTGTGTGTGTGTGTGTGTGTGTGTGTGTGTGTGTGTGTGTGTGTGTGTGTGTGTGCTGTGGATTCGCTCCGACTGCCGCCTCGGACTCAATCCTTAATGTGAGCCGACTGCAGGAGCCCAGAGTTTGGCCTCAGGGCTTCTTCCACCCTCTGACACGGCTGGAAGACTTAGAAGTTTGCTTTCAGAAAAAAAGTTAGATTTCCCTTTTCTCTGCTTCATTAGGAGCGATAGCCACAGTGGTAGCAACGGTTTTTAACACAGAGCTGAGGAAGAGTGTAATCCCTGCAGCGTGCTGACTCAGGCTGCACAATATTGATAGACTCAAATAAAGACTGGCGTACAGAACTCAGGAAGGATATCAGTGCACTTCAGGCACAGAAGACTTCAAAAAGGAGCCTGAACACATGATTTAATTATGTGAGTGTATTAATAAAGTGCAAATAACTGAACACAGAGACTTCTTCTTCGTAAGGCGTAGGACTGATGAAGATGTTTGCAGGTGATATAAGAGCATCCGTGGCTCAATCTGCATTAAACCAACTGGCAGTTCAATCAGCAGTTTATCAGCCTCTTTAGTCTCCATGTACAACTTATACATTGTTAAAGAGAGGCAGGTTTAAATGTTTTATTTATTTAAAACAGAGATCACTGTAGTCGTCTTCAACCTGCATTAGTACAGTTAGTACAGTTAGTACAGGTGGAGCCAAATATTCTCTCTTCTGCTCTTTAGTTGTTTCACTTTCTTCACCAGTCGATCTCTAAAGAAGCAAAACTAAAACAGAGCAGAACTTCAGAGTTGGTCATAATTATCTGTGGCTTTGTTGCTACAAGACAAGACACAGTCAACTGATCCTTTGTGAAAGAGGAACTCTTATGTTTTCCCTTATTTTCTGTCGTATATATAATGTTACCTGTCAGAAGGAAGGAAGTTTTAAATATAAATGTAAAAGTAATCAAAAGTTCCAGACTGTTCTGAATGCAACATTTCCAACAGTTTCTACTTTTGTTAATACTTTCTAACTATTTTCTAGTTTTCCCTCTGATGACTTTTATCTGCCTCAGCTGAGATTTACACAGTTTGCTTTAAAGTA